TGTGTGTGTGTGTGTGTGTGTGTGTGTGTGTGTGTGTGTGTATTTTACGAGATCTCGAATGAGAGGCAGTTTCTTCTTACGATACATGTGCTTTTTGCAGCTAAAAGATTTAAAGTTTTAATGGAATAAAAAAGTCAATAAGATATTAATTTTTTAATAAATTGAGAAAAAGCAGACGTTCAGCGAGATATCTCTTCACTACATGCTATCAACATTCGTCGCACTTCCCCAGGCAAAGAAATCTTTCGACAACCACACACGGGAACCATTGAATATCCTAATTTTAAGGAGGATAATAAAAATAATAATACTCGACACATTTGTCGCAACAACGTTCTGTAGCCTATTTTGCAAAAACAGCTCTTAATATTCACGCAAACACGCGTGCATTGAGTGTGTGTGTATATATATATATATATATGTGTGTGTGTGTGTGTGTGTGTGTGTGTAGATAAGAATATTCAATATGCACAAGTATGTATATTCTCGCGATTCTAGAAATATAATAAATTTTATAAAGGTATGTCGCGTATATATTCGCCTCTGTGTATAGTTTCTCACTAGCGCGATTACAGCCCGAACTGATTTATCGCGGGCGTACGGAACTGCGTGATTGTTTTACGTAAAATACGTATATACGTGGAAGAAAGAATGGCGTGAAACACGTGTTTGATGTCGTCGAGAGTCCCACGTTTCATTAACACTTTGTCTCCAAAGTCGCTCTCCTAACTTTGTCAGAACATTCGACATCCGGTTTTTCTTTGACTTCTGAATAACTACTACCAGAGCCTTCAGCTGATGATGTTTGCGACGTATGTGGTCCGACTTCTTCTAAGGACAATATCTCTGTACCAGTAGGCGAGTAGCTCACGGTAGTCGCTTCACTTGTTGGAGACGTTACGCAGCTGTCACCTACACTCCTACTACGCAGAGTATACCGAGGTTTTTGGAATTGTTGTATATTTAGAGATAAACTGGCCTGTATCGACGTTTTTTCCGAATTCTTCGAAGGGTTGTTTTCGGTTTGTTTCTCAGTTTGTACATCGACATGAGACGGACTTCTGGAACGTGAAACGTGAAGCGGACTCTCTGGATCTGCTGCTAAATCAGACGACAAAATTTTTGAGCTTGCAGCTAATCTACTTGCGCAAGGAGAATACTTGGGCAAATTTATCGTGATTTTGTCAGCGCCTACTGATAGAGATGATCGGCCAAATTTTTTCAATGGACTGCAAGCAGATTTTTTCTTTTTTAATTGCTTTGCGTCATTATAGGAATCTAAGCTTTCGACAGAATCGTTCTTCTCCTGTTCTTTGCATTTGTCAAGATTTCTCTTCATTTTACTCGTACATGTACAATTCCAAGGAAACTTCTTCGTGAGTTCTGTAGTCTTTGTGTGTGTTGTATCGGGCCTTTTAAACTTTGTAATATTATCTACAATTGAGATTTTGTTATAATAACGTTGCCTACTGTCTTTATTACTGTTAACCGAATCCATCGCTGACTCTGTACAATTGTATTTAAATCGAGATCCAGGAGACTTTTTTTCTGTAGGCTGAGTAAGAGTACCTCTGCAATCAGTAATATCCTTTTTAATATCACCAGAAACATTAGAAAATGATGCAACCGATTTCTCTCCAATCGCACATTGTCGACAATCCTCCACAAGTATATCAATTAAAGTTGTGTGAGTTCTTTGACTATCTGTCTTTTTCTGATTATTACCAAATGAATTCTTTAAGCTTCTATGAACAATATTTTTTTGAGCAAAGGGATTTTTCAAATTTTTTGGTAAATAGGTATGTTTCTTGGCGACTTTTCCAGTATGATTCAATTGAAAATTGTGACAATCAGTCACTTTTTCAGTGGTGATGCTCTTTTTCTGGTCTTTGTCTTTTGTGCACGTAGAAGAATCTTTCTGCTTAGAATTCTTATTCTCCGATCTCACACTAGATTTTTTCGAATTACCTTCGACATTTGGATACTCGTCTTTGGAACGTGTTTTCTTGAATGAATCTGAATAATAAGTTTCCTGATTTACAGCCTGCTGCTGATCGCAAAAGAAGAATACATCATCTACAGAAGCGAAAGATGATTCTTCATCACAGGGAAGGACAGGTGTCTTCTCCCCTGTGGGAGGCGACTGCTAGACAAGCTTCTCCGTTGGTGAGCTTGTCGAAATGGAACTGATGGTATTAGAATTGTTGGAAATGGTACGTCCTTGACTGTTCGCATGCATATGGCCCCCTCCCTGTCCTCCCTGACTTTGGGAGAGGCTGAGTCGCCGTCAGTTTATCAATTCCACGCTTACAAATTGTTTCAGTCGTTCGAGGTATTGATTGTATAACTCTACATCATTGTGCCCAGCACCCTGAAAAATACCCAAGATTATTATTATCACATTTATAATGGGACATACATTGGATATTTTATCGATCATAGTGTTTATATTATGCATTTGTATTAAAAAAATTTCATACATATAGCAGTCTTTAATTTAAATATGAAAAGTATAAACAAAGCGTGTGACAACACAATAATATGAGTAAAAAAAACATCAAGAAAATATTAAATATTTTTAATGATATAATATAATTAATTATTTTATAATACCTCAACCCATAATGGTTCCACTGCTCGTGGACATCTTTCGTAAATAGCCAGACCATGGCTAAAGTTTATAACTTCGTCTTCGGTACCGTGAATGACCAGAACAGGAGACGTTACTTTCGGCACTTTATCTATGCTGTAAAGAAATATAGAAAAATTACATTTAGACATTATCACAATGTCAATATATAAAGTAATTTTTATATTAAACCTCGTTAAGTTCTATTTTTTTTCCTATCAATCTTATATATTTTTGAAAATTTATTTATATATTTTTATTTATTATTTTATTTTATTTATACTTTATTTATTATTTTCCTTTTCTGAAATTTATTTACAAGCATATTAAAAAGTTTATTTTAGATAAAAAGTTAAAATTTATGATCGATACGTTACATAGCTGAGTATAGAATCTTTTTTTTTTCTACAAATAAATCATATCTAAAAAAAGGCATTAAAGACATAAATTTTAAATAATTTGTATACATGTAAAATATGTCTACATATAATTACATAAATCAATATATATTGAGAAACAAAAAATATTACATAAGATATTGGCTTTAAATTTAATTAAAAGATTAATTTTAAAAATAAAATCTTTTTATTCAGAATTATATTGCTTGAAAAATCTCAATCCTATGTCTTTTTAGAGACAAAAACTTATATATACGTATATATAATTGTTTCATTTAAAGAGTTATTTATTATAAATAACGTCAACATAAATTTGATAGATACAATTAAATTCCCAACTACTTATTTCCTACATTTTTTTGCAATTTATTATCTCTGCACTTTAACTATTTCAATTTAGAATGGCTTTGCGCAAAAAGTTATCTTCATGTTACGCATACATTATTACCTAATAAATAGAAAATAATAGGAAAGCAAAATAATAAAGAGAAACGATAAAGTATATATGAAGATAGAATAAATAATGTCAAATGACTAGTATAACATTCAAATATATATAATCGGAATTTTTTATTTTCCATTCAGCAGAAGTATTTTTTGAAATGTTGCAACACAATGAAGTATTTTTATACCTCATTATACTAATAGCTAAATGTCACATGTATTTTATAAACACAACAGTGAGTGAAGAAGAAAGTACTATCCACAACTGTTCAAGATATGAAAATTTGGGTAAATAAAAAATAAAAACTGGATTGAAATTGATAAAAGGCTGAAAACACAATTTATAAATAATTATCTTCCATAAATTCAAGTATTTTAGTACTGTAACAAATTTAAATAAGGATGGAAATATAAGGATGAAAACAAAAAGCATGCTTGTTGGACATGCATAATTATGATGTGAAACATGTGAATAGCTTGTTGTGGAATAATAGATGTATTACAGTTGGTGAATTCATAAAACATTTTACACAAATTAGTGTTGAAAATATTGAAATTAGTAAAAAACTAAAATACACTAAAATAAATGCTTGTTGGATATCACAATGGCAGATTTTTTAGTTTGATTACCAAGATCATTTTGAAAAATCTCCTAATAACAAAATATCAAGATTGCAATATTATTAAAAATATCATAAAAAAAATCTGTACGAAACTGATAAGAGAGACGCATTATGACAAGAATGCGAGTTGTAAATGTAGGTTTCATTTACATGAATACATATCCATGTGACACAAATATACATTTGTCGACTGCACATTTGTGTAGCTTTTCAACAAGATAATAATTTTATTATAAAAAAAAAGAAAATATTTTTGAATTAAGCTATTATCGATTTTCTACTAATCACTGTGAATTTCTAATACATACTTGTTAATTATACTATTTTAATGTCTGTAGATTACAATATGGAAAACAATTTTCTAAATGTGTTAAAAGGTGAGAAATAATTTTTGATTGAAAAAAGGATGAGAAATATATGTTGACGCGACTTTTGTGACTTGGACCCTCTCATCTCATTTGATCTGGAACTTGCGTGCTTCCTGTGGTGAAAATATGTTCTGGCCAAGGAGGACATTTCCTGCTTACCTGGTGAAAGCATCAAAGAACCAAGTTCTTTTTGTTTTCGGGAAAGCAACCCGCATCCCGGACATGAGCGGTGAGTGCAGCACTACCGCGCCGACCTCGTATCTCGCAGCAAGATCGACTGTGGGGACAGTGCCAATACTTTGTCCGTAGAGTATTATATTCTCCGGACTGATGCCGTAACGTGTACGTAGTGCGTGCCACGCGGCATCGATGTCCGCGTAGAGGTTCTTCTCGGACGGCTTGCCACCCGATACCCCGTAGCCCGAGTAATCGTAGCTGAATATATTGCAGTTTATCCGCGAGCCGAGCCCAAGGTAGAAACTCGACATCTGGCCGAGATCGACAGCATTCCCGTGCGAAAAGAGAATGGTGAAACGCGCGGTCGCCGAGCAACGTACGAATAGGCATGCTATGCGGTTGCCGCGCGACGTCCTCGCATAGAAACCTTCCACCGACTCCTTCTCGCGTTCGGTATACTGCCACTCGGCGCGTTCCGAGAGAGAAATGGAGAACTTGGAGCCCTCGTCCTCGACAAACGTGTACGTGGGCTCGGGCGGTAGGAAGGCTAATTTGTCTGCGATTCTGGACGGGCAGGGCGGACAACAGAACAGGCAACACAGTTCACTCAGACTTAACCCGTTCATCGTGTAGCGCAAAGCGCACCGGATGAACTGCACACTAAACTAAACGCGGCGGCCGCGCCGTCTCTCTTCTCTTTTATCACCCCCTGTTATCTCCCTCTGGCGAAGCTTCGGCATGGAGCTCTCCAGCGTCCTGGGCTCAATCAAATTCAATCAAATCGAGTCGATTGATCCGGCGAAGAGGCGCGTCGTTGTCGCGCGAGATCGAAACGGAAATCTCGATTTTTCATCACCCTAATGAATCACTCGCGGCGTCATTTGTTATCGGTAATGTAATGAGAATCGTTCACGATTGCTCACAATGATTCAGCCATGACGGCTCGTGGTGAGACAGACGGACCATTTCTCTCCCACCTTCAAGTTGCCTCGTTCTTTCTCTCGCCTCTTCTCTTTTGCCAACACCGTGTCCCCACTCACTCCACGTTGCGTACTTTCATTGTGCGAGGTGAGAGACAAAGCGCGAGACAGAGACGAGAGCCACCATCCACTTTGCTCGCGTCACATTCCCATTTCCCATTCGACAGCTCGGACTGCTCCGACTACTCGGAGTGGCTCGGCTCGGAGTCGGAAGTGCTGGAACTCGGAACTCGGAGCAGTTCGGTGCCACCGAAGCTTCACCGATCACCGATGCTTCTCTCGTCTCGTCTCGTCTCGTCTCGTCTCGTCTAGCCTCGTCTCGTCACCGTTGTCGTTATCGTTGTCGTTGTCGGCTGTCGGGCGTCAAACGATGACAGTCGATCAACTCCGATCAACTCCGACCAGCCCCGACGTGCCCCCTTCTTTTTTAGTCGCGTTTGCATTCAACTGCACTTGTCTCAAGCTTGCTTACGGATGATTCGCTGATGCTGTACCGAGATTCATCTGGGATCATATTCTCGAAAAATATCGCCATATTCACGAAAATATACGAAAATATTATATAGTATACGTCACGTATACTATATTATAGCAAAGAGAAAGGGTGCTTTCCAAGTGACACAAGTCTATACAATACACATATCGTTCTTCTTTCTTATCATTCAGAGAATAATAAAGATAGAACGATATATATGTTTCCTGGTGTCACCAAATTCGAAAACACCCGATATTTTTCAAGACTAAGACACTTGTTTGCGTGAAACTTTTATCTTTTTTTTTTATAGCCATCGATTAACCGACCAATCACGGGACAGGACACAGCAACGTGTCCACGATGTTAGAAATCAACCAATGCGCTTGAATTATGTTTCCGAATTATTCAAATTTGATTTGTTAATTCTTTCTCTGTCCAAAATTTTAGATCGATTTCTAACATCGTGAAATACAATTTTAAGACGCCATAAAATCAGAGAACTATATTAGCATCTTAAAATATTACTTAAATGAAATAAGATCAAACACTGTGTACCGACTTTTTCTAAAGCTGTTTCCTCACATCGGAGTAACGAGAAACTTTTTATTGTTTGCTATCACTAAATATTTCAAAATTATGAAACACATGTCAATCAAAAAAAGTTAATCTACGATGCGCTCTTTATTTCTTATTTCTTGATTTTTACTATTTTTTACCATTTGCCTCCTATTCTTTTTCTGTTTTCATTTTTTCTGTCATCCAAGATAAAAGTTGACCAACTTTCGAAAGAGACAAGAAACATATATGATAAGATAACCTGTACACAGCACACAGATTATTTCAGCAATATTGATACAATACATTTGCAAATATTGCAGCAACGTTGCCATTCATTATGCACTGCATAAGCAGAGAGAAACCTGAGAAAGGCCATGTCAGCCTTTTTTTCTGTTACCGTCGTAATTGCACGTACACTATCGCCAGTACATGTCCAGTTTAGAAATTACGTGACTACATACTATATTTTCTGACACTATATTTGATAAAATCGTATCGTCGAAAGTAGATGTGGTTCGTCTCTGTACTAAATCCTCAAGACAAAAGTCGTGCCGACTATCCATAAGAGGGATAGTTTAATGGATCCTTGAACGAAAAAATTTTAATTTCTGTTGAATTTTAATAAACGAAATTGAAAGTTCAAACAAGTCAATTTAATGAATTTTGTCTTATATAAATAAAATATTTATCTTGTAATATCTTATAAAATAACGAAGTTATGTTTCTTTATAAGTAATATAGGAATTGAACAAGTGCCAGAGATGGCACAAAGCAAAGCGCGAAATGTATGACGATATCCGTTTGTCAAAATCGTGTAAAATACGAATAATTGAATATAATTAAAGTAAATATTTTTCATATGCGACAGTTGGATATCCGAACGGCAAACAGTGAGGGGTGGGAAAGTCAAGCGTGCCGCGCGGCAAGGTGGTTGACTACGTCATCACTTCAGCATGCGCTCGGCGATCTCGAAGGGAGACGTGTTTTACGAGTCGCATTAAATTCGCGAAAATTAAAAGATATCAATAAACGCGAATTGATCAATATTCATAATTTGCAACTGGTACTTATCCTCTTTAATGATCATGAATGATAGCACGTCGAGAGCTTTGTATAACACTCTCAATTTTCGGATCGAAAGCGTACGATGCATGAATTTAAATTCATTGAATTATCGGATAGTACAATTAAAATAATAAATATTTTATTCTTTTATTAAAAATACATATTTTAAATAAAATTGTTTTAAATACGACCAACCTGACTAAAAGGACTTATTTAAAAAAAAAAGGTATAAAGACTTTATATTACATGAAACAAAGTAAAATCCAATTAATATTTCACCATGGAATTGATGAAATAATTTCTCATATCGATTTTCTCAAAACTTAGCTGCAGTTTAGATTTAGTGGCGCGTCATTTAATGTAATTATCGTGATACATACATTGAAGAACATATATTTAATATTTATTTTATAATTTCAAATATTTCGTATCAACTAATACGTTGACAAAAGACAAGAGATAAAGAGTGCTTTTTGCTTATAATGTAGTCCTTTTTTTGACAAAATTTGATTTTATCGATAGTATCAGAAAATGTATGTAATCATGTAGTTTTCTCAAACTGAAAATGGATGTACTGGCAGTAGTGTACGTGCAATTTCGACAGTAACAGGAAAAAGGCTAGCATGGCCTCTCTCAGATTTCTCTCTGATATAAGAAAACGATTGTCAATAAAACAGTTACAAAAAGGGAAAGCCGCAATAGCAAGCAAAAAATAAACACAGGAAACAAAGAGTACATTGTAGACAAGTTATAATTTATAGTTAATGTTTTTAAAATATAGCTGTTTAGAGAATGATTATTCTGCAAGGAACAACACTACATTATAGAAATTTTAATAATTAGCAAAACTAGTAGATCACTAATTACTAGCCTAAAGAGTGGGCTTTGAAATAATAAGTAATGTGTACACAATTTATATTGTTCAGTACAATATAAGCCAACAATTTATTTGGATTACTTTATATTAATTACGCAATACACAGAGAGCATGATTAGTAACTTAGCATTATTTCATTTTATTCCTCTCACAACATACATATGTATGTATTACATTATACATATACATGTGTTACATATTTGTCATATCAGAAGATAACAGACAGTACAATTAGTTTATCAACTTTATCTAATCAAATTTATAAACATAGACTTTAGATTTGTACTTATCTATAAACAAATATTTACACAAACAAATTTTATGTACAATTTCTTCATTCATATTTAAATATTAATATCAAAAGTAAAGAATAATATTACATGTATTCAAATGTTTGTTAATAAAACGCAAATAAAAAAATAAAGATTGATACAAAAATTATATTAATTGCAACTAAATCCTAACTTTAATCTAGATCATACCAAAATAATACTGAGTTACACAATATGCATTGGCATTTCCTACTGATCATTTATCGATGATCAGTATGAATATGATTTACATAATATGCTATGTAGATATTATATAAATGAGATTGTATTATATAAAAATATTTTCTCCTCATTCTGACTTATATAGATTGCATTCATCAAAAAAAGCAGCTTTGCAACTGTTGTAAAATTCCTGAATATGATTGGTTCATACATTTAAATCCAGTCAGAAACTACAGAAAAGACTAATCATATTAAAGAATTTTACAACAGTTGCAAAGCTGCTTTTTTCTCCTAAACAGTCATTATCTTATAAAAAAAATACTATAAAAAATGTACCTTATATTCATTATTTCAACCTTGTAAATCACTCACAAAATTAAGATTTATATATACCTAATAAGACACCATTAGTTACAACATCTGAAAGACTGCTAGTAGAATCAGCTAGGACATATGGATCACAATGAAAAGTCAAGACTGGATGATGTCCCAAAGTATTTGGATGATTATGCGCTGAATTGTCTGCAGCTTTATGTATTCTTGAAAAATTAAAAAATGACAAAATTAAACTTTATTATGTTACAATATTTATAAAATATTTTCAAACATTAAATTTCATTCTGTTAATATATATTTACTATATATATATAAATGATATATAATAAAATTAAATTATTTTGTCATAAACTCTCTATAAATAAAAAATATAATATACTCATTTTTCTTCTCTATAAATTTAATCCACTTGAACCACGAACCTATGATGGAACGTAGCTTCTTGGCTTTCTATACCCAGAAAATTGAGAACTTGTTGTTTTGTTGCTAATAGACTTAGCGTTTTTTGTATATATAATTCCAAAGCAGCTCGTCGTTGTTCCAATACTTTCGGATGCGAGTTTCTTACTCTCTTCGGTGGAAATGGTGCAATATCTGAATTATCCTTCTTCAACTGAAAAAGAATTTTAAAAAAGCTTAAATTCTTTTGTATAATATATTGTTATTCAATAAATACAAAATATATTAAAAACATATTTTATAATAAAAATATTGTAATAAAACAAATATAGTTGGAAAAAAGGATAATTATAAAGTTTACTGTGTTTAGCTACAGCACTTACAAAATTAATAAAATTAAGAGTAATTATTCAGGAATTAATCCCTCCCTTCCACCCTCTTC